AGATTTGCAAAAATTAACATTTGCTTGTGAAAAGACGTTCCGACTCGGCAAAATTGGAGTTTTTAGCAAAATTGCGTCACTCCGGTGCCGATAGAAAACTTTACAGGTAATAAAAAAAATTGAGCAATCGGGCAATAAATAATTAACCTAGAACCGATAAACTGAATTATCGAGACAAAAAATGTTTACATTTTTGATCAAATCAGGCGACCCCTTAACCCTGGGTAAAATGCCATAAAAAAATTATTCATTAATAAAAAAGTTTTTTGTCAAAATTTAAATTTTCAAAATTTGCCGCCTAATATCTCCGAAGATTCGTCGAAAATCAAAAATGTAAACTACAGTAGCTATGTGCCCTGTCTCAGGCTATGTCAAAATGTATCGTTATTGTTAATATTACTGCAATATTTAAAAAAAACGACAACTTTGGCGTTTCGGACATTTCGCATAGTCGCAGAACGTTCGAAATAGCTTTAATCTCTAAGTCACACCCACTTTCTCAGTAAAACCGAATTGATCCGACAAGTAGTTTCTGAGATACAATCAAATTGGAAAAAGAAAAATAATAATGATAATAAGAACTAGAACTGCGATGAAGTAATGACGGGTTTCACCGGTGCCACGTTACCCTAAACATATTTCACTTCCGGTACCAATGAAACCATTAAGCAGGTTTCCAAATAAGCATTGCACAGATCAAATAAAATGGACGCCGAATCAACCAAATCCAGCAATATCAATTCATTTTATACATTTGTTACATGTAAGTGTACAGTAATTCTGGTGATATTGAAAATGTTCAATTAGATTTATGAAATCAGAAATGGCATAAGGCATCACATGGTGAAAATTTTATGTAAATCGAATAATAAATGCCACTTTTATAGACCAAAAACCTTGAAAAGTGACTTGTAGAAAATCGTCTTTTTGTCTGCAACCGTACTAGTTAGAAACCATTTTTTGGTATCTGTATCATCGTTTTTGGTCTATAACAGTGTCAAATATTCGATTTTCATAAAATTTTCACCATGTGATGCCTTATGCCATTTCTAATTTCATAAAACTAATTTAACATTTTCATTCTCACCGGAAGTAATGTTATTTTAGCAAAAACTGTATTTTTAGCCTTCAAAACAAATATTTTTTTGAAGTGGGTTATATTTAGTATTCGTTTACCATTATGATATTTCATTCCAATGGAAATATAGATTGGATCAATACGTTCATAAATATGTCAAAAAATAGCTTCTAGCATCTTCTCTTGCAAAGAAATAACCAATTTCGTCAGGATCACTTTTTAAGACTTTTCGCATTTTTATTACAGTTGATGGGTTCTAAATTAATTATTTATTGCCTGATTTGTATAAAACAAAAGCTCATATACTCCTTGGTGCAAATTCTCAACTTGTTTCTACCTATAAAGTTTTCTGTCGGCACTGGAAGTGACGTAATTTTGCTAAAATTTAAATTTTGACGGGTCGGGAGGTCTTTTCCTAAGGAAAAATCTTAATTTCTACAAATCTTATCAATGAAGATGAATGCTCCTACTACAGGCGCAAAATATGTCGGGCTTAGTTTTTTGGGGTTTTTTTTTATATCAGTTTTGTATTTGCGCCATTTGGATTTAAGGTTGAAAAAAGGAGTAAAAATCAGCTATTTACAACCCATTCATCGTCTTCATGTTTTAAATTATTTCTAGCGGTAAGTTAGTAAAAAAATTTGTAAGGATCACTTTTTTGACATATGTAACACATGGTAACAAATGTATAAATGAAATTAATATTGCTGGGTAACTGGCACCGGAAGTGACATAAGTTCAAGGGTAATGTGGCATCGGTGAAACCCATCATTACTGCATCGCAGTTCTAGTTCTTCTTCTTCTTATTTTTTTTCCACTTGAGCATATCTCAGAAACAATTTGTCGGATGTCTCGATGTCTTCGGTTTTACTGTGAAAGTGGGTGTGACTTAAAGATTAAAGCTATTTCGAACTTTCTGTGACAATGCGAAATGTCCGAAATCACCGAAGTTGTCGTTTTTTTTAAATATTGCCATAATATTAACAATAATTGTCGGATTTTAACATTTGATAGATTTTGACATAGCCTGAGACACGGCAAATAGCTACGATTGTTCAGATTTTTGATTTTCGATTAATCTTCGAAGATATTAGGCGCCAAATTTTGAAAATTTAAATTTTGACAAAAATTTTTTTTATTTATGAATATTTTTTTATGGCGCTTCATCCATAATTAAAGGGTCATGTGATTTGAGCAAAAATATGAAAAAATTTTGTCTAGATAATTCACCTTGGCCGCTATTGGCTAATTCAGTTTATGGGTTCTAGGTTAATTATTTATTGCTCAATTTGTATAAAACAAAGCGCATATGCTCAATGGTACAAAGTCTCAACTCTTTTATTACTGATAAAGCTTTCTGTCTGCAGCGGAAATGACGTAATTTTGACCAAAACTACAATTTGGGCGGTTAGGAACGTCTTTTCGCAAGCAAATATTATTTTTTTAAAATAAGTAAAAAGTAAGAAGATGCGCCATGTAAAGGTGCAAAAAAAGTCGGAAGCAGATTTCATTTTTGCGCCATTTCGATTTAAAGGTCAAAGACGGTGTAAAATTCAGCTATTTACAAGCCATTCTGACGTTTCATATTTTAAAATATTTCTTTGTGACTTTCATAAACTTGTAGCATTAATTCATATGAGCAGTTGCCGAGAAATGGTCAATTTTGCAAGTGTCACTTTTTACGCTATTTTGCCTGTAAAAGAGTCAATAATTATTGTTATTTTCAAAATTTTCAAATTTGACCTACATTTTTGGATACCTGAAGACCATCCGATTCCAGAAATATAAGTTTCATTCGAGTTATCGCCCTTTATTTTTCGATTTTTTCGAATTTTCTGCCCATTTCGTTAAGTGGCCCGGGGAATGGTGAAACTAACCTGGGTTGTTTTGCTATTTTTAGACGCCCACAAGTGCTTGTGGATGCTCTTGAAGCTAAAGTTAATATCAAAATGAAATTTAAATTGATATACAGTTTTCAGAGTCATGGGACGATATAATAATATGTTTTTTTTTAAAATCGGATAAACATTATGACCTCTATAGGGTCCACAAGTTAAAAACGCAATTTTTCGTACAATCAGGGGCCATAATTCAGGAAGTTACGTTCCGATTTGCGCCAATATCGAAAGGAACCGAGATCTTTGGGTTATAAACTTACATTTCAAGTTTCATCAAAATAGGATTAAAATTGTGACCTCTATAGGGTCCACAACCTTGATATACCATATTTTTACGCTATTGAGAACGAAGGGCGGCCATTTTATCTGTCAGTTGTGGGCCGATTTTCACGAAATTCGAACTCAACCGTCCTTAGGGTGTAACGGTGATATAATAATACGATTTTTTAAATCGGATAAAAATTATGAACTCTATATGGTCCACAAGCTAAAAACGTAATTTTTCGTACAATCAGGGGGCATAATTCAGGAAATTACGGTCCGATATGCGCGAATATCGAGAAGAACCGAGATCTTTGGGTTATAAACTTTCATTTCAAGTTTTAACAAAATCGGATAAAAATTGTGACCTCTATAGAGTCCACAACCTTGATATACTCTATTTTTACGCTATTTGAGAATGAACGGCGGCCATTTTGTCTGTCAGTTTTGGGCCGATTTTCACGAAATTCGAACTCAGTCGTCCTTAGGGTGTAACGGTGATATAATAATATATTTTTTTTTTAAATCGGATAAAAATTATGACCTCTATAGGGTCCACAAGCTAAAAACGCGATTTTTCGTACAATCAGGGGCCATAATTCGGGAAGCTACGGTCCGATATGCGCGAATATCGAAAGAAACCGAGATCTTTAGGTTATAAACTTACATTTCAAGTTTCAAGCTAAAAACCTGATTTTTCGCACAATCAGGGGCCATAATTCAGGAATTTACGATTCGGATATGCACGAGTATCGAAAGGAACCAAGATCTTTGGGTTATAAGCATACATTTCAAGTTTAAACCAAATCAGATAAAAATTGTGACCTCTACAGTGTTCACCAGCTAAAAATGTGATTTTTCGTACAATCAGGTGCCATAATCCATGGTCCGATACATGCCAATATCGAAAGGAACCGAGATCTTAGGGTGATAAACCTATATTTCAAGTTTCATTGAAATCGGATAAAAATTGTGACCTGTAGACTGTTCACAAACAATTGTGGACGGACGGACAGGGGCGACGACAATATACGTCCACAATTGAGACAACGGAGTGTATGAACTTTGTTTTATACAAATCGAGCAATAAATAATTAATCTAGGACTGAAAAACTGAATTAGCCAATGGCGGCCAAGGAAAATTACTAAGACAAAAAAATTTCACATTTTTGCCAAGTCAGATGACTCGTTAATTTTGTGTAAAACACGACTAAAAAATATTCATAAATAAAAAAAAAATTTGTAAAAATTTAAATTTTCAAATTTCGAAGGACAAAAGCCATAGATGAATGTTCGAAATTGAAAAATGTGAGATTGCCATTGTCTCGGAAAAGATTCAGGGTTTCCAAAAATGTGAATTGTTTTAAAATAGGTAAAGAATTGGCAAAACCACGGCCACTTTTTGATTTATTGCTACCGTTCAAAATTCGGCCCCTTTCGGTCTGCGCAGAAGTTTCAAAAAAACTTTATCAAGTTACCACCACATGGTTTCCCGATAGAAAATTTGGTTCCAGATCGATATCTGTTTCCGATCATGGAGAAATAGGCTCCCGCGGTAAATAATAATAATAATAATAATTTTAGTAATCTCAATAGGCTTTCAGACGAAAGTCTGAAAGCCTAATAATAATAATAATTTTAGTAATCTCAATCGTGTTTCCTACAAGCTACGCAGTGTGAAATCCTAATAATCCGAACAAAAACAATGTGAAACCCTAAATATTTATTATTTTATTCGCTATGAACAGGTTTTGGTGATTTACCTTGGTGGGTAATGGAAACTCATCTAACAATAGGGTTATCACTGCTGGTCCTAAAGGATCTGTATGGGGGATACCTCGAATTAAAGATTTAACTACTTCCAGCCACCCTGAATCTTTTTCTGCAATTTTATGTAGAGTCAGCATAGCTTGTGGTGGCTCTTGATCACTAAAATATATAGTAAACAGAACATTCATACTATTGACATATTACTGGTCATTGGAATTATACTTAACGAAACCACTGTTTGCCATGCAAAATACACCCACATTTAGTAAGAGATGTATAGAGAACAAGCTAAAAAAAGAAACGCGATTTTTAAGACAATCAGGGGCCATAATCCAGTAAGTTATGGTCTTATTATAAACATAAATGTGACCAGTGCTGTCTAAATGAGTCGAAATGCGCAAAGTTGAATATTGAGCTACAGACAAAACAAGTGAAAGTATTGATTTTGGCCGAAATTGAGATTTTCACAAAAATGAGTCTTTATTTGCAAACTAGTTATTTTGTTTTTCTTCGCCTGCTGTGGGACAATCGGATAATCCCCCCTGGCGTAATACTTAGCATCGTTGTGAAGCGTTACATCTCTAGTTTATAAATATGACGAAGCATTACCGATGATTGGCCCAGACGTCCCATGTGGCATATCATCAATTAATCAACTAGGTTAAACCCGAAACTTATCATTGAAAAGTACTAATCAATTGTCATGGAATAATGAGTCGTTAATTGATATTTGTCAATGATATATATGAAACCTTTCCCCAAGTCATTATTTACCTTAAATAATAAATAAAAGCGGTTATTATTTGACATGATTAAAAAAATCATAAATAATATAGATAGTTGAATTTCGTTTACTGTGGCTTCATATGGTATATAAAATGTACAAGCATGCCTAATTGGATATTACTGTTTCAAATTTTATTATCAGCAAGGTATCAGCTTTGAAGGTATTGAATTGGTGAATGTGAAAACAACAACAATTCTGTTTTCAAAATTTCCCCATTGCGACTTATTGTGCCTGCAGGGGTCACATATTTTAAGTTTCATCCAAATCGGACAAAAATTGTGACCTCTAGTGGGTGGACACAACCTTCGTATTACATACATTTTGTCGGACAGTTTTGTTTCGATTTTTTCCAAAAATTCTAAACCTTCATTATGGTGATATATCTAAACGCTTTTTTAAATCGGATAAAAATTGTGACCTCTAGAGGGTCCACAAGCTAACCAGTGGTTGCCAGGCCAGATACCCACCAGATATGCCCACATTTTGCAAGAGATGGATACAGAACAAGCTAAACAAGCTAAACAAGCCAACAGTGAGGCTGACGACCCCCTCGAAAACTAAAATTAAATAGATGACAAATTTAATAGCATATTTATTTTTTTCATAAGTATCAAGCAATCAAACTGATAAGCAACTATACACTAAGTTTCACCACTCTCTATCGGACAGAATCAAAGTTGTCTTGTCCCAAAGCATCGACCAATGAAATTGCTTAGCTATGCTTAGCTTAGCTTTAGTTCGAAATGTTAATGAACATCTACATCAAGTTCAAACCTTCTACCTCCATTAAAAGCAGAGTTGTTATGTTCTAAAGTCTTGATCAATCAAATTGCTTATCGCTCCTTAGCCTAAGCAGAAAATTCTCATCATCGAACTTATCTATACTCTGAGTTTCATCACTCTCACTTAGTTAACACCAAAGTTATTGTGCCCCAAAGCATCACAATAAATCAGATTGCTTATCTCTGCTTACCGTAAGCAGACAATGTTTATCATCAAACTCCATCAGGGCATTCACCTAATGAATGCCTACACCAAGTTTGAACATTCTACCTCAATTAGAAGGAGAGTTATTGTGTTCCAAAGTCTCGACTAATGAAATTGCTTAGCCCTCTGCTTACCCTGAGCAGAAAATGCTCATTATCGAACTTAGTCAAGGTATTGATGTAGTAAAACTATACACCAAGTTTCTTCACTCTCACTTAATTAGAACTAAAGTTATCGTGTCCCAAAGCAACAACCAATCAAATTGTTTATCTCTGCTTACCCTAAGCAGAAAACTCCATCAAGGCATTGACTTAATAAAGGTGGGGGACAAAAAAAAAATTGTGATTTTTTGTACAATCAGGGACCATAATCCAGGAAGTTACAGTCCAATATGCACACGGATATGGAAAGGAACTGACATCTTTTGGATATAATCATATATTTTAAGTTTCATCAAGATCATACAAAAATTGTGACTTCTAGAGGGTCCACAACCTTGGTATTGCATACTTTACACTATTTGCTTACAAGTAGCAGCCATTTTGTTGGGCAGTTTCGGTCCGATTTTTACAAAATTTGAAACTCAACCATCATTAGGGTGTAACCGTGATATATTTAAAAGTTTTTTTTTAATAGGATAAAAATTGTGACCTCTAGAGGTTCCACAAGCTAAAAAAAAATCTGATTTTTCATAAATCAGCGGCCATAATCCAGGTATTTACGGTTCGAATATCGAAAGGAACCAAGATCTTTGTCTTATAAACATACATTTTAAGTTTCACCAAAAGCAGATAAAATGTATGACTTCTAGAGGGCCCAAAACATTGGTATTATATACTTTTACATTATTTGAGTAAAAGGAGCATCCATTTTGCCTGTCAGTTTTCGTCCAATTTTTACAAAATTCATACGTTTCGATATGCGCGATACTTTATATACCATACTTTCAGGCTATTTGGGTACAAAGAATTCAAACTCATTCATGGTGTAACAGTGATATATTCGAACGTTTTTCTAAATGGGATAAAAAATTGTATCCTCTAGAGGATCCACTAGTAAGTTAACCAGCGGTTGCCATTCAAGATACGCCCACATTTTGCAAGAGATGGATAGAGAACAAGCTAACTTAAATTTTACTCTGATAAAATAGAAAATGGTGAAAACAGACAAAAAGACCGTATAAAGTTGTGAATTCCTTTTTGGATCATAATGCTGAGCGAATTATTCTTCCGGACAATAATAATGACACTGAACTCTCAGATTTCTTTAAAATAATAATAATATTATTATCATTATTGTTCGATTTATATAGCCCTTCATTACACATGAGTGTTTCTAAGTGCATTCACAACAAAACAGTTCAAAAACATTTTTGAAATAAGTATATTTTTAAGTTAGTCTTAAAACTCTGGATGGAAGAGGACTCTCGAAGAGTTTTTGGAGAAAATATGAACTGAACTTGATGTTCTATTTTAAGTCTCATGAAAATCAGATATAAATTGTGACCACGAGGGTGTCCACAACCTTGGAATTACATACATTTACACTATTTGCGTACGAGGAGCATCCATTTTGTCCGGTAGTTTCAATCCGATTTTCATGAAATTCGAACTTCGCCATCATTAGCGTTTTTAAAAATCAAAAAAAAAAATTGTGACATCTAGAGGGGCTACAAGCTAAAAACGTGACTTTTTGTACAATCATGGGCCATAATCCAGGAAGTTAAGATCCGATATGCGAGAATATCGAAAGGAACCGAGTTCATTGGGTTATAAATGTACCTTTTAAGTTTCATCAAAATCGGATAAAAATTGTAACCTCCATTTTCCGTAATTAAACTACTTCTTTTAAGACACCATATATAAATTCCCATCTACAGTGGCACTTTCCCGCGATCTCGATTATCGCACGAAAATCGCTTACCATATAAGGCAGTGCTTACTACAAAACAAAGACTCGTAATTTTGGAGGAATATTACTGCCGTGAATTTGATTGAAGCAGACACGGATTGGGAAATTTCATTCTATCGTATTACGAAAGCACGTAATTTTGTAGGAATATTACTGACATAAATTTGAATACCATACGGGAATTAAATATGAATAAGCAGTTGCCATGCAAGATATGCCCACATTTTGCAAGAGATGGACAGAGAACAAGCAAAATAAAAAGCGATTTTTTCGTACAATCAGGGGCCATCATCCAGTATGTTGCAGTCCGACATGCGACAATATCAAAAGATCTTTGGGATATAAAAGTATATATAAAAGTTTTATCAAGTTGAATAAAAATTGTGACATCAAGAGGGACTACAAGCAAAAAAAAAACCGTGATTTTTCATATATTCAGGGGTCATAACTCAGGATGTTACGGTGTGATATGAGCGAATATCGAACGTAACCGAGATCTTTACAATATAACATACATTTTAAGTTTTATCAAAATCGGATAAAAAATTGTGTTCTCTAGAGTGTCAACAATCTTGGAATTACATATTTTTACACTATTTGCATATGAGGAGCAGCCATTTTGTCCGGCAGTTTCGGTCCGATTTTCATGAAATTCGAACGTAGTCGTCATTAAGGTGTAACGGTGATATATTGAAACGGTTTTTATAATCGGATAAAAATTATGACATCTAGAAGAACTTCAAGCTAAAAACGCGATTTTTCGTAAAATCGGGGGTCATATTCCACAAAGTTACGGTGAGATTTGCGCGAATATCGACAGGGACCGAGATCTTTGGGATCTAAACATATAGTTTAAATCTCATCAAAATCATACAAAAATTGTGACCTCGAGCGTGTCCACAACCCTGGATTTACATACTTTTACACTATTTGCGTACAAGGAGCGGCCATTTTGTCCTGCAGTTTTGTCCGATTTTCACGAAATTAGAGCTTCGCCATCATTAGCGTGTAAAGGTGATATATTAAAACGTTTTCGAATAACACCCTATTTATGGATAACAATTACTATGGTGGGTTTTTTTTGCGGGGGGGGGGGGCGGGGGGTTAGTTTAAACAATATTTTATTCACGGGATCTCGAAACAAGAAAATGACTTAAATCGGCTTCCCAAAAGCATGGTACATAAAAGATATAAATATATATATAATCAATATACATGTATTGCTAGAGAGTCAAAATAATAAAAATAAGTTTACAGAAAAAACACAATCACGGTGTTGGACAGGCGGCCCTTTTTAATGACAGACCTCATGATACAGCGTGCACGTGCTTACAATGTTCGAATAGATTCGGTGATATTGTAGATGACCATAATATGGTATTTTTTTGTAAAAACTCAATGCAAGAACTTGGTTGGTTTTCATAAATCAATAACAATTTTTTCTTGACTATATTTTCGAAAACAGTTTAATATT